CCGAAACAAACTTATGGCTGCTATGGAGCACCGCGACGGAGTAAAACAAGCTGCAGCAATGCTACTTCTGGAGACGGTGTATGCGGGAGCGATTACCGCGGCAACGGGACGTGGCGAGTGTGGAGGAAGAGCCAGGACTGCGTCCAGCTCCAACCGGAGGCTCAGGTGACTCCAGGACGCGATGCTCGCGTCCAGAAGCCGGACTTCGACGGACCATTGGCTGGCGAGCCGCCAGCTCCATACTACTGCTAATCCTATTAATATTATACCGGGGGGTTCCGTGTGCTGCTGCACACTCGACAACTTGCGCCGTCAAGAGCAAGCACTGGCACTCGTTTTTTCCTGCTGGACTTGCAGTGTGACGGGCCAGGTATGTACTCCGTTACTTGCTTATACTATAGTGTTGAGGAAGCTCGCAATAGGACGACTGAGTCTTAGGTTTAAGGAAAAATCAACTCTGACTATATTTTAGGACCAAGGCCACAGCCCTGGCCACTCAAATACACGTCATAGTCCAATTGGCTAATAATGGGTCTGGCTCCCCATACATCAGCCAATGGCATGACAGCATTTCAGCACACGCTAGTCGTGAACTGATGCACCTACTTATGTAAAGAAATCTACCTACTTATGTAATGGAGGGGCCCATTACATGCAGTCCTGCAGCTAAGCGTTGCTACGACTACTTTCTTCATCGTCATGGTAACCACTCGTAGCAACCGAGGAGCGACCATCACTCAGGTTATGAGCCCAAGAAGGGTTGCTAAAAGCCCATGCTAGGAGTACGCTGTGCTCGCACGCGTCCGACGAGCTGCAGTTGCCTGCAAGAGCAGACGAGACAACGTCAGACGAGGCACCCGCGACGTCGCAAGCGTAATCTACCCGGGTTGAGCAACAAATCGATCTCTTATTGGCCCAATTTGGTACCGTTATGATTACATTAACCAATCAGCAACAAGTGCAGAGCATTCCAGTGGAAACATCCACGCGACGCTCACAAAGGCAGCTCATTCAAGAATTCTCAGCAGCTCGAGCACAACCGCAGCGAGGGCCGACGCCGTACGGGCCCCACCGAGGAAACCCAAGCACAGAGGAACTTAATGCCGGCGCCAGCACGCGTCAGAGCGAGCCGACAAGAAACCCAAGACCGTCCGAGGCTGCAGCGCAGCCAGTTCAGACCCAGGTCGGGACCGACTCCACTACGGACGAAGCCATGGTTGGAGACCACAGATGCATGCGGTGCACGAACCAGCGCGGACACGTGCAGTTGAGCGTAAGACTTGCCGACAACAACTATCAGACGTGGCGCGTCGAAATTTGCTCCATTTTCGATGTCGCACACCTCTTGGACCCCATCATAGAGCGTGAAATGATGGCAGACCAACGTAACGAAGTACAGCGCGGCTGTTTCAAGCAGCGACTGCGTGTTGCTCAGCGTGAACTTACGATGGGAGTTAGAAAAAAACTACAGATACGATTTACAAGTGTTATTCAACGTACTGATCCTGTCCTATTGTGGCGTACACTGGAAGATCACTTTGACCACCATCTTGGAGTAAACAGCGCGTTTCTCAAGCGAGATATGCTGAATCTTCGCTTTCATCGCGACGAACGACTTGACGATTACATTTGGGATATCGACGACTACCAGCCGAGACTTCGCCGCGCGAAGAAGTAGCTGCCGGAGCAGGAAGCCGTCTCTATCCTATTGTCGAACACAGTTGGTGTGTACCTGGCAGTGGTGAACGATCATGAAGTACGCATTGGACGCGATGAGTCTTATACGTGGGAGCAGACGATCGAGCTCCTTCGACTCGCTGACCACTCACGCCAAGAGACCGAATTACAGCAAGGACGCGGTGGAGGTGGACGTGAGATGTTGCATTTGCTGGTGGTCGTGGAAACGGACACAGCGACGGAGGAGGACATCGAAACTCGAGCAGCAGCCAAGCGCGAGGCAACAACAACCGCATCAATCGTCGCAGTCGCAGCTGCAGCTCATCGCCACGTGGATAGAACAAGCGGCCGAAGAGCAAGAGCTCATCCCGTGCGAGGGACGACATCGGTAGGCGCAAGGCGAATACGAAGTGCAACACGTGCTGAGAGCAATGACATTGGAGTGGCGATCCTGAGTGTCGGCAGCGTGGCAACAACAATAACTCCGGCAATAACTCGAGTAACCCGCCGCGCAGGATGATCGATGTGGTTACTGTGAAGACAGCCAAGTCGGCTGCACCGACTCAAGCTGAAGGACAAGAGCAAGTACCTGCTATGCGTAACAACTTCAACTACAAGGACAAGGGTCAGGACATGGTGGAGTGGGTGTGGGACAGTGGTGCGCAGACCAACGTCTCAAGCGACCTTTTCTTGTTTACGGAGCTGCACGAAGACTCAGTTACAGAGTTAGTTTTGGCAATGGCACCACCGAGCGCGCAAGTGGGGGCACAAAGCTTATGCAGCCGCTGAACGAGCACACGGGCAAGTTTGAGGAGCGCCTCCTTGATAACGTAAGCTACGCTAAGTCGGCTGCCTACAACCTGATCTCGCGGGCCTACATGCAGCTCAAAGGAAACTTCAAGGTGCGCATCTCGCATGATCAGAAGACTACGTGGCTAACCCTCCAACGCCCACGATACCAACGCGGTCACCAGGTTTGATACCAACCTCCTTGAACGGAGTGAACACGGTGGTGCCGGCGCACAACAGCGGTGCGGCCACGTCCGACGGGATGTTGTCTGGGATCTTGAACGCGTACTCGTGCGTGACGCGAATGTAGTCTGCGTACCCGCCGTACGTGATTGCGTCGTCCGTCTTGCGGTATTTCGAGTTGTACGTGCCCACGTGGTGGCGGCAGTAGGCGTCCTTGCCGTTGGCGCATTCCTTGCACGGATCGTCCGGGAACTTGTTGAGGCAGGCCCACACTTGCGCACCGACACCCACACGGTCACCGACCTTCATGCCCTATGCTGGTGATGCACGTCGTGGACGCTGTTGTGCAGCGCCGACCACGTACAGGAGGCGATTGTGGTGAAGTGCTTTCTCAGAAATAAGAGAATGGGCCTGACGCGGGGTCACTATCCCGAATCAGTGACAATTTCAAGTGATTAGAGAGGATTTGGGTTGGCTGGGCACGGATGCAAGTTGCCTGTGGTG